AAGTAACGATTTTTATAATCTGCAGGAGGATAACTTACATCCAAGAGTATTTAATTGGCTAATGAGTTCACTGAAGTTCATTGGTTTTTTTCTTTATAACAAATCATGGCACACTGGAGAACTTAAGATAACTAGGGGGGGTGGGTGGTGGAGGGCAGAATCCAATGTCTTACCAGTATTTAAATGTGTTCACATGGATATCCAAGAAACTACAGAGCAGTTAACTCAACATACATCCCAAGCAATCACAGGCAAGCAGCCAAAGGGTGTCCTAGGTAAATTAGTAAAAGCTAGAACCCAAATTACTGTCATTCAAATTAATGACATTTGAAAGAGGTACTTTCAAATAATTTAACGTAATGTTTGTAAGCCTACAAGTTTGATAGAGCTAACTAGATAGATATGGCATGCTTAGACTCCTGTAAGCCATTAGACTTACTTCTGCATGACATTCTAATAAGAAAAATTAGCTGTATGCTACAGTCGGTGTGATCAGTATTAACAGATTTGAAAGAATTGGGTAACTATATAGCCATTTGGCAGATGTATTTCTGATTGTAGTCTATTCACATATCAATGCTATATGTTATTAGCAATCAGGGAGAAAATAAAAAACAATTGCTGGTAAAATTATTGAGGTAGATAAAAATGAATTGTTGGGATGGTAAAAGTAACAGGTGGCACTTGCCCAAGACAACCTAATTTGGATTGCTTGAAACACTAGGTTCATGAAAAACCTGTTTTGTTACATCTAAGTATAAGGAGCAACATATAGGAAAGAAGAATGTGAGCTTTATTTTAAAACAGGGATGGCAATCCTGGACAACAGTAAGTCTGAAAAACCTTCAGAGGTTACAACATATGCCATCTGAATACAAAACATGCTGAATGGGAGGGCATCGCTGCCAAGGCCATCCTCCTCCTGGACTGCGTAAATAATCAAGCAATGTCAAATACGAATCTAAGGTTCCTGAGGCATTTGTGTAGATCTCACATCCACACAGTTAAGAATAACTCTTACACAATCATAGTGCGACCACATTTTGAATGTTGTGCGCAGTTCTAGTCCCTTCATCTCAAAGTGATGCACTACGATCAGTAAAGGGCCAGGGAAAGGCTGTGCTTGTGGTTAAGGGTTGGGTGACAGCTTCCACACAGGGAATGACACAGTTGAATAGAATTCCAGCCTGAGTAAGGAGAGAAATGGCAGGGATCTACGTAGTTTTGAATAATATGATGAAGAGGAACAGACTATAGCTGTCCACATATTCTTAGAATACAAGAGCTAAAGGGCATCAAATGAAACAAGAAGGTAACAGTGTAAAGACAAATAAAAGGAGGTTATCAACACAATCTGCAATTAAGTTATCCTTGCCACAAGGAGATCAGAATGCTCAAACATACATGGGTCCAAAAAGTGACTGGTCAAATTTATGGAAGAAGAAAAAATATCTCTCTACAACCGCTAAATACAAAGATGCCCTTTTGACTCAAAAGTGCCTGAAATGCAATTTACAGAGCTGGGGTGGGGATGGACATCCTAGGGAAGGGCTTTTCTGTACTTGCTTTGCCCTTGTACCCTTCTATAAGTACCATTATGGTTTCCTAGTCCACCCATTATGGCACGTCATGCTCTTTACTGAGGAACAGGAAAGATCAAGTAGGAGTCAAGCAGATATTCGAGGCTGGGAAGCCTACAGGGAGGTACTGATGGAGCTGATCTTTCAGTTAAAGGAAGGGGATACCAGGAATAGGCAATGCTTTGACTGCACAGAAGAGGGTCAGAGTAAGACCCAGAGCTGCAGCTAGGATGGAAACTTCTGTCTAGAAATGGGATGCATTCTTTTCTCCCTGAGCACATCACTCCCACTTGGACAGCCACACCGAGAACGTGGCAGTCGACTCGCATTACTTCAGCCAGTCATGAGGGTGTCTCTTTCTGACTGCTCTGCCCAAAAACCCAGGTGGACGCTGAAGCAGGAACAACAGCATGTGCCCAAGAGACATTCCTGGTGAACCTGGGACACAGGAGCAGCTGCCTGTGCCTGTGGCAGTTGGTAAAAACACATCAGAACCACGTGCCCCGGTGCTAATAATGTCACATGCTGGCCGTCCTCGGTTGAGATCATAGCCCTCACGCTCAGGACATCTTAATTTCCCTGGCATAACTCCTGTCCCAGCAAGTACATTCAATGCTGCATTAGAAATCTCCCCTTTACAAACCTGAGAAAAAGTAGCACAGCTTATTATATTGCCAAAATGTGCTCTGGAACATCAAACCTTTTTAACTCTGTTCTTGTAAATGTTCTTTAAAAATCAATTGCTAATCGATTAGCATAACTGAGTTAAACTTGGAGCATTTGTTCTCAGCATGCACTTAGCTTGAACTTTTCTGATTGTTTCAGTTCTGAAAAAGGGCTTGAGCGCTCAAAAGCGTTTCTGGGGTTTTTTTTTATTATTTGGTTTGGTTTTTTCCCCCCAGTTAAATCAGTCAGTCTGTAAAAGATACTCCCCTTTTCCTACTAGCCTCATATTGCTTGAAAATGGTTACTCAGTGGTATCCTTACACACATGCCCTTTTAATTTCAGTGGGAACATAGATGAAATCTAGTCTACGAAGACTTGTGCCCAGGGATGGCTTGCCTCTCTCAGCCACCTGCCTGACCTCAGCTCTCCCACTTACGCTGGGATTCCCTGCCTGCAAACCTGGCAGCTCTGAAAGGAACCCTGGAAATTCACCTGCAGCCCCAGCACGGGTCCTTCATTGCAGCAGGCGCCTGTCTATGCCAGGACGCCTTTGTCCAAAGAGGAGTCGGCAGTGCCAGGAGTTGGCCTGCCCACGTATGAAGTGGCACTGCATGCTCCTGTGCTTGCAGAAACAAACTGCTGTAGGTTCACCTCTTTCAACCTGAGCTGCCCTCATCACCCAAATGCAGAGCAGAGTTCAGGACTAGCAAAAGTAATCAGCAAGACCTGAGGTGCTGCTTTAAGTCTAACAGATGCAAGAAACAACTACAAAATAAAGCAAACCATTAAAATCAATTCTTCCCTGTCCTTAAGGTGATATTATCTTAGTGGCTGAGTTCACATTACTGAACATACGTTATTGCAGGCATATGGACAGTGCTGGAAAGACGAAGGACTGGTAAACCAGCCCCACAGGTACTGCTCTGCGGACTGCCTTCATACCAAAGATACCCATTCAGGCTAAGCAATTCCAGACTGTGCTGCCACCAAAAGGGACAGACCCTCCTTTTTCAGCTCCTCCCCCAGTCACAGACATGATCTGGCTAAAAATGAGCACTATAAAGTGGTGGTTAAAATTTGGGAATGAGACTACGGGACTGGCTCCCGTAAACAGATCACCCTGAACAGACACGCGAGCACAGCCAGCAGGAAGGTGGTGACTTCAGGCTGGGTTCCTGCTCTGGTTCAAGGGAAATGCACTACTGATGCCTGGTAAAGAGCGGGGGCCATTATCCAGGTATTTTAAAAGATTTGACTCTCCTGCTTCCTTCATCCCTGTTTTGCAGATAGTCACCTCTCTGCCCATGGATGTCATAAAGCACATTGTTAAACCTTTTTGAGTTATACCATCTCTACACTACAACAGTAGTACTGGTACACACAGGCTGCCACAACTGGTTTCCTGACACTTTTTGTAAACCTGTAGCATGTGAACACATTCCTATTGTATCCCGTTAGCATTCATGCTGTGGTGCATCACTGGCGCATTAGGTGCATTAGGAATGGCACGCTGAACCTCACATAGTTAATTCAAGCTTGCTACTTCAGAGCAGTACGGTCTAGTTGCGTAAGGTGGCGATAATTAGGGGAGCAGAGCTACACCCTGTGTCCCAACAGAGGCAGAAAAAGACAGAAGCATTGGGTCTGCTTAGCCTTCAGATCTGTGTGTCCCAGTGTCCTGGCACTGATGAGGACGTTAACCGAGGCCTTGAAAGACCAGTGCACCAAGGGGAGCAGACTGCAGTGCTGCCCTAGCGTACCTTCTGCCAGCCGGCAGCAGCTCAGGCATCCCTTGAGTCAGAAGCAGACAAATCTTTAAAGGATGGTTAGTGCTTTGATTTCTTCACACTTGTGTCTTCAAATCACAGAAACAAATGTTACCCTTTACCTTTTTTGAGTGCAGTGCAGCCCAGGCAGCAGTGTGTGGACCTGTACTGTGCTCTGGTAGATGCTAGCTGGGCTGCCATAGGGGCTGGCTGCTCTGTACCCAGGGACCAGCGTTCTCAGGGCATGCTTCCTCCTCGCCCCACATCAAAGTCCTCAGTGCTGGCACAAGCACTGCTGTCCTGCCCCAAGCTGCAAAGCCAGGCAACCCCAGACATTGTACCTGCATGGGAAGCGTTTGCCTGAGAGGCCTCAGCCCCACACCTACCACATATTCCCCCATATCCTCTGAGAAACAGATGGATGCATGGGTCTGAGAGTGCACATACCACTATGCATGGCATGTCATGGATGAGGTCTGTCAGGACAGTCTTCAAGGCAAGGCAGAAGTTGTACTCTGGTAGGTATAGAGAAAGACTAGGGTTTATTCCAAACACCTTTGGGTACAAACTGTAAACAACTTGACTGAAGACAGGATCCCAACAAATGCCCAGGGCACCAGAACTGCCTGGTTCAGGTTAGAGTTTGTATATTTGGGATAGGGAGACCGATACCCTACAACCAAAACTCTGATCAATGCAGCGTATTTGCTCCTTGTCCCACAAAACGCCCTGAACCCCATCTCTCGCTTTTTTTCGTGAGTCTGGAGATTGTCCTGATTAGTATGGGTAAACAGGATGCTCCAAAATAGGTGCATGAGGCAGAGCACAAGGCTGGCTGGGACAGGGACACAGCGACAGGTTTGGCACAGGGGGCTGACGTGGCCTGGCAGGAGGTGTGCAAGGGGAAGGGGTTAGCTGGGAAGGCACAGACTACGCTGGCAAGGAACTTCTGCACAGAAAGGCACAGTAGGACTGGAACCGCAGCCCTTAGTAGAGGACGTCCTCGAAGCCGAGCAGCAGGAAACGGTGCAAGGCACTTGGCAGGTGCAGCTGAGACAGGACCAGAAGCAACCGGCCCTCCAGGAAGGTCCTGAGTGTGCAGCGAGCCAGGTGCTGCAAGGAGCGAGGTCTTTGCTCCAGGGAGAAAAGTGACTGGTAGAAACGCGGGTATTTCTACAGAGAGAGAAGAGAGGACCAGAGGCAGATAAAGCTGAAGATATCATCCTGGGAGCAGAGGTAGAATGAGACACACCTTTACCTTATTCCCTATGACGCATCCTCCCTATCCCCCAACACCACCACCCCTGTGCCCTGCAAATCTCCACCCAGCCCCAGCCCTGCCCTGCCCCAAACCCCCCTCAGCCCCAAGCCTCCTCTGGCACCCTGCCGCGGTAGCCCAGCTGCAACCCAAGCCTCCCCTGGCACCCTGCCGCGGTAGCCCAGCTGCATGTTCTCCAGCCGGCAGCACGCATTCCCTCACCTGTACAACCTCTGCTGGAACGACTTCCACCCAGTCCTCAGAGACGCGCACGTGATCATAGCTGTTCATCAGGGCCTCGATGACACGCGGGCAGGTATGGCAGTACTGCAGCACCTGCACCAGGGAGAGGGAAGATGGGCAGCCTTTGGGCAAGGTCCTGCAAGCCCCACCTTCGCCTCTAGAAAGCTGCACATGCTCAAAAACAGCCTTGGTAAATCTAGAGAACTAATGTCATGCTGTCCCAGGAGATCGAACCCACGGATGGTGGGAAACGCCAGAGCACCACTCCTGCAAAGAGGGTGACTGAGCCAACATCCAACACACACAACACGGTTGCAGTCAGCACAGCTGGGTCCCCACAGCCTCTCCTCAGATGCAGGGACTAACTACATGGCTGGGATGCAGATCTCCTTCATCTGCCTCTCTGCTGCAAGTATCTTGTAAGCAACCAACACTCTGCTTTATGCCAGGCTGCTTTCCTCACATTTTTCTGGTTAGAGCATAAACCATTTTGAGGCAAGGACTGACACCCATTTTGCGTGCAGCAAGACTAAGGCATACCATGCCTCTGTTGAGGGCTACACAGGGGGTCTCAGGGATGTATTGTGCCCGCTTGGCATGGGGCTGCAGAGAGATCCTGCATCTGTGCTGTGTGCAATGGGTGTCCTAAGAAATACTGTGCCCATGTTAGCTGCTACACAGAGCCCCAGGAAGACGATACATATTTTGCGTGACACACCTCTGGTGTGTACCATGGCCATGTTTTAACAACACATGTAGGTCCAAGCGACACACTGGTGCTGTGTATCTGAGACCACTACTGTGGCCTTTGGAGCACACCCCACCCATGCATAGCTGCAGAGGCAGATCCCCCCCCGGATCTTGGCTCCCACTCCCTATGGCCCAGGCCAGCAGTAGCTGTCAGAGTCTATTCCGGCTGTACGAGTGATCCTCATTATCTGGCGTTAATAGGAGATTAATTAGTGTTAATTGTTGATTTTCCTGTATTTTCCCAAAGGGGAGAGCAATCTGCTGATCTCCGGGCTGGGTAATTATTGCACTGCTCAGGAATTAAGACAGGAAATTAACCCTTTGTTTGCTTGTGTCTTGCAGAGACAGCATGAGCTGGAGGCTATGCCCCAAAGAGGAAACACAGCCCCTGAGAGGAAAAGGGCCAACACTTTCCAGGGCAAGTGATTATGGAAACTGGGTAAGTTTCTGTCCACAGAGCTTAGAAGACAGAAGCAGGAGAGTCCTGCAGGAGAACATACCCCAGGAGAAAACTTCAGGGAATCCCTTACCAGTGATGCCAATTCCCCCTCCCCCAGCCCCTGGGAAGAGACAGGCAGGATGGCAAGCAGGCAGAACAAGCCCTGCTGTGACAGAAACATCCTTGCTCCCACCGGGGCCCTGATGTTCACAGCCTTCCCTTCCCACCATGCTCCCGGCACAGCTGTGAGCCCCGCACCTTGAGGAGGGAACCAGGCCAGATGCGGATGGCACCGTGGTTGAGCAGGGCTTGCACCACAAGCTCTGGGTGGTGCTCTAGCTTGTAGGCAGTTGCTTGCAGGATATTGTGCAGTGCCGTGTTGCCGCTGTAGTTCATGACGTTGACATTTGCACCCCGGGCCAGCAGTAACTCTGCTACTTGAGCATTGGCATTCTTGCAGGCCAGGTGAAGTGGGTGCTGGCGGTCCCTATCTGCAGCATTGATACTAGCACCACTCTCCACCAGCAGCTGGCAGACGCGATAGTAGCGGTCCATGTCCTGGGGTTGATGGGGTTGAGCACAGGCAGCATTCAGTGGCGTCTGCCCCTCCTCATTCTTTGCCTCCAGCTCTGCTCCATAGCGCAGAAGCAGCTGGACGTGGTCTGCTAGGCCATGCCGTGCTGCTACATGCAGTGCTGTGTCGCGTTCCTCCTCTGTCCGACTGTTCACACTGGCGCCATGCTGCAGCAGCTGCCTGACACACCTGTGTGGGCCACGATGACTCAGCGACAGACTCTGCTCTCCAGCTCCTATCCTACCTCCCGTGCCCCCCACCTCCCACGTCTGTGCTGTCCCACAGCTTTCACTTTTCCCAGGAGTCCAAAAATCCCTGCTCCTCATGCCCTGGAGTAGTGGTTTTAAGCCAGAATGACTGGTGAGCAGAGACAATGTCATATAGTTCTAGCTAATTCTCCACAAATCTTTAGTAAGTCACACCCAGAGTCTGCTCCCAAACACCCACGGAGGCCTGTCTGCATAGCACACGCCCTGAGCTTCGCAGTGTGAAGCATCGGCCCTGCATTGCTGGTAGGTAGCAAGACAGCAGCACCCAGCTCAGCTGCACCAGCTGAGGACTGAGCTTGCAGTTATCTGTTGGACTTCAGAGGTGGTCCTGCTCCAGGAACAGGCAGTAATGCCACCCCATTCAGCAGCCACTGCTGCAACCTCCAGCCCACCTGCAGGGATGAGTAGGGACCCCTTCTACACAGGATAAGGCTCGAGGGGGAGGGAGGCCCACTGTGCCCCCTGGGTAGAACTCACTCGATGGAGTTTGGGCTCTTGCAGAGATGCAGGGGCTCGTAGCCATCCTCAGAGACAGCCTCAGGGTCAGCACCAAAGCGGAGCAGCAGGCGCACGCAGTCTGTACTGGCTGCTGCACAAGCCTCATGCAGGGCAGTCTTACCCCCTGGCGCAAAGTTGACGGCAGCACCCCTGAGCAGCAGGAGCTGCAGGCAGTCTGTGTAGCCCCGGCTGGCTGTGATGTGCAGCGGCGTGGTGAGCTCCTGCTCATAGCTCAGAGACCACAGTCCTGAGGAGTATAGTGGACGAAGGGCCTAGGGCCCAGGCAGGACTGAAAGCAGCAAGGTGGCTGGGAAGAGCACCGTGCATGAAGCACCACAGTAAAACAAAGAGGTGCTGGAGCAGGCTGCCATGCACACAGGAGATTCAGACAAGCCCTGAGCATCATGCAGACAAGCCAGCTTCAGCAGCGATGGACATCTAGGGCCTAGGAGAGAGCAAGAGCTGAAACCTGCCAACTCTCAAAGATGCTCACCCAGCTAGGACCATTGCTGAGCCGGTGCGGTCTGCTGGCAAACAGCCTGCAGCTCTTACAGGAAAAGGGCTCCTTAAATCATGCTTCTTGCTGCCCTTCCAGGCTGGGCTGGAGGACCACGTTCCAGACTGCATGACGTGTTCAACCCTACATCCCTCTCATCTCTTTCTCACAGAAGCAGCCTGCGGCAACTGTGTTTCCCAGGGCCAGGTTCAAACTGAACCATCTTGAGGACCTAACGCAGGGCTGTGACAATTCCTTGCCCAGCACAACCCACAGAGAAAACCAGCAGCCCAGCACAGGCTGCACGCAGACAGAACAGGCAGACAGAGCCAGGCTACAGGGCCAGTCACAGAAGGAACACAACCTGGAGCTTGAATCTCCTTTGCCCAATGGGGTAACCCAGGCAGTTTCCAAGCACTTGCGCAAACCCCTGCCAGAAGGGCCAGGTACCCCAGACACACCTCGCACTCCCAGACACACACACGCTCTCCCACAAGCAGCACAGGGGAACCCAACCACATCCCAGTGCTCTCAGTCCCACCCAAACAGCACCCATAACACATAATCCCAGCAACAGTAACGCCCAGCAGTGTAAGCAAAAGGCTCAGAGCCCCTGTTCAGCGGGGCCACACTGCCCGCCCGCTGCCCCCCCGCATACTCAGCCGGCGGAAGTTGAAGCGGTAGTTTTTCCACTCTTCCAGGTCACTGGTGTCAAACACAGCATTGGGACTCAGGTTGTTCTGAGGGTCACTGAGGATCTCGGCCACAATCCCCTGATCCCCAGTCAGCAGGGCCTGCCAGTAGACCTGGGCAGAGCCATCCACCCTCCGCGTGCAAATGGGCTCCTGACTCTTGTCTCCTCTGCCTGCGATGCTACTACCCATGACGCAGTACCCAGACCCTCCGCAGAAACCAGGGCAGGACCTGCTGCTGTCTCACCGGCCAGGCCCTGAGCCCGTGGGTACAGCCCCACCAGTGCCCCGTGCCCCGGCTGCGGGGCTGCCTGTCTGCCCTGGGCGCTCCGCAGGGAGGGAGGACATGTCACATCACTGCTTGGCCCAGGCTGGGTACAGCTCAGGTCTCAGCTGTCCTATTCTGGGAAACCTTGTGACCAAACGTTTGGGCCAAGAGGCCGATAAGGACACTCCCTCTCAGGCAGCAGCACCTCTGCGGTCACTGGCTGTGAAGGGAAAGCCCCTAGGCAGGGCAGGGCAGCAGAGTAGCCTGAAGGGCAGAAATGGAGACAGGACAGCACTAAGAGAACAGAGAGGGAAGTAGCCTCATGCCCAACTCGCCTGCTGTCACCCAGCTGCTGCCCAGGCCACAGCAGCACAACCAGCTGCCTCCATACACCACCAGCACACCTTTGTCCAGCCCTTGGCTCCTTGTACATCTCCTGCACCGCACCTCCATTTGCTAGTTCTGCCCGAGCCCTTGGCACTAAACAGGTTTTTAAACAAGCCACAGGAAAATTCTTTTTAATCAAAGCTTAAAGCCAAAGGACAGGTAGAAACAGGCACAAGGATGGGAAGCAGTGCATTACAAGTGAAATAAAAACATAGAAGGTAATTATCCTTTAGACCCCTTCCTACTTTTCCTTGAAATTCAGCCTTGCAGAGAACTCCTGCATGGTTTTAGTACTCCCTTTCCCATCCTCTGACAGTCCCCTCACTCGGGGTTCGTCACTGCTGTCCTTTCACCTGAGATGACATTTTCCCCTGTCCCCACTTAGTTGTATAAACCCACCCTACCCCTACTTTGGTTACAGAACAGCACACTTCGCTCGCAGTTTGTCAGCATTGTGTGCATTTTGTTCAGACCGTATGTTCAAAAGAGCACATCAAACTGCATGAAAGACTGGTAGTGTTTAGTTTAATTTTGTGTCGTGGAACTATTCAGATCATGCAGCTAAAAACAAGTTAAATGACCTCAATAGACCACCAAGCAACAATTACCTGGGGGACCAGAGAAGGGTGTAAGATAGGAACTTTACCCTTCTTAGTAACGAAAATAAATGACCAAGTTCTATACTGACAGTCTCCAGCATCCTTTGTCTGTGCAGACTTCGCTACCTTGTCTAGCTACAATGTAGTGCATGAAAGGGTAAAAAGAAGGAAGCACTTGGCAGACTTTCTCACCTGATGGGATCCTCTATTTCCCCAAAGATATAAGCCGGTATCCCATGAGAGCCTGAGGTTCCCAATCACAAAAGCACCTCCAGGGAGGCAAAAGGCTGCGTGAGTTAGTGTCAGTAACACCACACAATTTACGCTTCCTCTGGGCTTCTTAAAATATCAATACGGATGACTTGGGAAAGACCAGGTCACTAGAATCTACTTGTAAGGTCACTGGCTAGGTAAGTTTCAAGAAACTGTCCCTGCAGGCCAGTGAGATACATAACCAGAGCCTTAGGTAGCATGAAGATTTGCTTTGGTTTTTGTTCTATACCCTTATCTGATAAATTTGGCAGTATATTTTTGGTCTGTGCTTGATGAATGATCTTGTTTGGTTGGTTTTGTTTTTTCACATCTTGAAACTTTGGTGATGAGAACAATTTTTGTGTGAAGTTGTTTTACATCAGCTGTTCTGTTTTCTTTGGGGTACAAATCTTTACAAGTAGACTGACTTGCTGTTCAAGTGTCTGTCAGCCCAGCATAAGAGAGGAGTTAAAATGTGCAATTCATATTTTTCTGACAAGTGGTCTCAGTTACACAAAGGGTAATACCTTTTGTATTTTTATTCTTAAGTAGACTGTAACAATTTAAAACCTGGGTTGTACAAATCTTGGAACTCAGTAAATAATCTTCACCACCCACAAGTAGCAGCACTTGCATCTGCAAGCCCACCCTATCTGTTTGTCTTTTGCTAGTGTGGATCCCCACAAAACACTCAGTCACGGTCAAGCTCTATCAGCGTACTCCATTGCTTTGTGCCAGGACACTTCCCACACCTCTGGGAAAGTGGCCTTTATCAACAGCTTTTCCATTCTGCAACATGGGGGCTTCTGCCACCAACCTTCTGTGGAAAAGTGGTGCAACTATGGCCCCTCCATACCTGGCACTCCCCGTCTCAAATTCTGGGAGTCTGCCTGCACCACACTACTAACAGACAGCGGCAAGGACACGTGCACTTCCAGATTGCTAAGTGCCTCTCTCCCTTTAACACATCAACTATGCTGCTTACTGAAAAGCTCACAGATGACATTGATGAGAAGGTAAGCAAAAGGGACCAGATAGTGTGGAAGCATATGTGGTAGCCACAAGATGTATCCGGGCAAGGTACAGTGAGGTGTACAGATGGGAGGAAACACCAAGGGTGACCAGCTTCTACCTCCTGTCACTCAGGACAAGCTTGCTTCCACCATCTCTCTGGTAGGCTAAGTTTCTGCTCCCCTTGCCCAATCCATCTCACAGAATAGAACAGCTTGCAGGGTGCAAACCCTGCATGTGAAAGCAAAACAGCAAATGCTTTTGTTCTGGAGCAAAGCCCCCCTCCAGCCGATCAGTTAACCCTCCCCCATCAACCCCCCTGCAGCTTCTCAAAGTCAGTGTTCGGAGCAGGGATCGCAATGGCTCTGCTTCACACCTGGGTTTCACCACGCAGCAGGAA